AAAAAAAAAAAAAAAAAAAAAAAAAAAAAGGGTTGCGTCAGGGTTGACTCTACTCTAAAGGCTACTAGGGTACTCGTCTCTAAAAGGCGCTACATAGGGAGATACATAGCTTCTTATAGACGATTTATAACCAGCATCCACAGGCGAACACATTAAGAGATACCTTCAGTACACAATAGTCGGTCATTCTTGACCATAAAGGAATCTCAACTCCTCTCAAGCTGTCTACTAAATTATGTTTTAATAATTCTCTTTTTTTATATAACTACCTAGTAGTTAACCTCGTAACTGTATAAACTTGTTTAGCACCTAATTTTTCTCGAACTTCATGAACGATTCAAACTTGTAATTTTACTTTCGACAAAATCGTTCTTGTTATTGAAATGAAGTTAAACCGTGCTAAACTACGGCAGCTTCTACGGAAATGTCGTAATATGTTACGAAGCATGATACAATTTGTAACTATTCGCTTTTAATGAGAAGGGCTCAAGCTCGTTACTTATTACTAGAAAGTCGATGACTACTATTTTGTCTGAAACAACTTTTTTATTATTGTCTGGAAATAGAGCGTTTAAGATGTCGTCGATTTTTATTAAGGCATCGTTGGTTATTATTGGATTTGCTTAACGCTATCATCGAACATGCGAAGATACGCTTAACGGGCTTGAGACGAGTTCCTATAAGTTCGCATTCAAATACTGTTTATTAAAATTTATTTTGAATCAACATTAATTTCAAAGAAATATGTTCATCAAAATCACCATCGTCATGGCCGCATTTATCTATACGACGACCGCACTACTTGGATATGACTGCGGAGGAGCAGCCGCTAACATCACCACCGTCTCGCTCCTTGGTGCAGGGGATTGCAACCTCCCCACACTAACGCCGACAAAGACAACCACATACGTTCAGCTGTTGCAGTTAAAATACTATAGTGAAACAACAGTTTACCAGTGCCGAATTGAGATAGATCGGACAATTTATTAAAAATAATTTTTTAATAAATTAAAAATAAGGGAAGACCTGATTTCTCTAAAAGGTCACATTAGTTGCACCTTTTCCGACGGTTCCTGCCTCACCGACGAAAACGGATCTGCCTTTTGGACTCCTTTTGGAATCCTGCAGGTTCGACCAGTATACAGCGTTGTACGAGGGTCTGGCGACAAAAGTTACATCAACGGCGGAGAATAAACATTCGGCCACTATGTACACTGTTACGGAGGGAGAAACGGTATTTGCCTTAATCGGGAAGGACGAACATCATCTGTGTGGGTACACGTTAATTACGACCGAACACCCAAAGCTGTTCGTTTTGGAAACCCAAAAGGGAAAAACGTTTACAACAGAGGCAACGATCACATCTAATAACATTGATATATTTGCCTACGTAAATTCCAAATTCGTGTATGTGGAGAAACATTACCGTAATCAATTAGAAAAGCTCTACACCAGTGTACTCCAGCAGAGATGCAACTTGGAAAGGCAAGTAATTAAAAACGCACTTGCCTTGGCATACGTTCTTCCCGACGTCTTTGCCAGCACCATTACGAAGAAACCCGGATTTTTGGCGGTCGTCAGAGGTGAGGTAGCCCACATCGTCAAGTGTACTCCAGTACCCGTAAAAATTAGGCACACGGAGGGATGCTACCGGGAATTGCCTGTGCTGCACCAAAACTCCAGCATGTTTCTAAGACCAAGGTCTAGGATTTTGGTAAACGGAGGCACGCAGGAACCCTGTAATTCTCTTCTACCTCAGGAATACTTTGTAGAGGGAACGTGGTACCAGCTTTTACCTAAACCCACTTTTTCTAGAGAACCACATTTGTTGACACTGGAAGTAGAAATGAAATAGAAATATAATGACGCAGGTTCTCTCGCCACGAGCGGAATTTACTCGCAAAAACACTTAGACAACTTGCGTGATCATCTAATGTTCCCTATTGAGCAGCCCTCCATAATAAACAACTTTGCTAGGGGAGCGGCAGACCATAAAATTCAGGGGAACAGCTTGGACATTGTTAACTTAGTGAGTGAAAGTGAACTAGAAAAACTGACAGAAAACGTTGCCTCACGTATGTGGACGGGTCTCTTGAAGTTTGGTTCGGTTAGTGCGGCTATTTTAGGACTAATTGTAATTTTTAAATTTATAAAGCTCATTATAGACTCAGTGCTRCGGGGTTATGCGCTCCATACTGTTTACGGGTGGAGCGTACATTTGCTTGGTGCCATTTGGGGATCGCTAACAAACCTRCTCCTGCACTTGAAAAATACGAAGAGCGGCAAAAGTACGAGGCCGCAGGAGGAAGCAGCAGAGCTTAAAGAGATAACGACGGGACGGCCGGGAGATAAAAGCGACACGGGAGACAACGCCCAGACGTCCAGGACGGCGGGCGCCTCACAAACAGATCCACCCGGTAAGCACGTGCGTTTTACTTTAGAAGATGAAGTCTTTAATAGGTTTGATGCTTTACGAAGCACTCAATAGTGGACTATTTCGTGCTTCTTCTTTAAGGGGGGAGGTGTCACGTCCTAGTGACGATTTTGTATGGCGGGGCGTGTTATCCAATGTTAATCATTTTATAACCAGTATTCAATGGTTGCGATTTATCTTCCTGTCATATTATATGAAAAATTTTAAATTTTTGTTACTTACATATTTTTACTTACACAAATTACATATGCGTATACATTGAATACTGTAGCTTTCTATATTTTTCTACGTAATATGTCAATTAGGTAAACATTACTAATCTCGTGTTTAACAATACGGTTATTTTCCTTATAATAATTCACCTTACATTATATACACTGTGAATCCTATTCGTATTAAGCGCTCTTATGAACGACCATCGATGGTTACCATTTTGACAGCATATGGTAATATTAAAAACATGTGTCGATTGTCGTTCATAGGGAAACCTGCCTTACCTACAATCGAAGTCGGTAAGCGGGTCTTTTGATAAGTGAAAGTCGGTAATACCGACTTTGTGCTCCTACAATACCGATATTTGTTATTTAGCATTTGGTTAATATAACAATTACTATTAGCATTTATTATTAATTAAATGATTGCAGCAAATAACATTTAGGTAACTTTACCTTTATTTGGGAATAACTTTGACGATTATTAGCAATTAGTAGAACAAATAATTCTTATTATTAATAACATTTATATAAAATAATAATGTTATCTTGCACGTAGGTTCCCACGCTCGTGGTAAGGGCACGCGTGCAGTAAAAGGAAATCTCTTAGCTCGGGTATAAGACGCACGTGCAGTTCCAAGAATTGCTGCTTGATAGTAACCGATATTTTTCTGAGGCAAATTCACATGACACAGCAGTTTTGTCATGTGAATTAAGTGACATTATTTTAACGACTAAAACCCATATTACACCGAAGTCCTGCGACCGTCCAATCGACGCAATCGATTCTAAGGCAATTGGGTCTGTGGATCATCGGGATTTAGCACAATTCACACCAAGACGAAAATCTTTCCAGAGGTCATATTTCTAAATTTCAAGGGTAAGTACACCTCATTCATCTTAAACTTGCAAGTTATTGGCTCTTCTAGCCCAGATCCCTAGTAGAGTACCGACTTAACGGACTGACCAAAAATAGGGCAACGTAGATCTAAACCGCGTAGAGTTTCTAAAATTAAAGGAAATTGACCGGGATAAGGAACGAATTGGTTTTTTTTAGTGGGGTTACTCGTTCAACTGCGGGGACGTCACATGACGAAAACGCATCGCACACGCCTCGCCTGGGATTTTTAGCGGTAGGGGTGAGTTATATGATTCGGCTTCTAGGCATCTGGTTGCCGAGCGGCCAACGTCCTTATCATCATAGGTAGACTAAACATCCTCGATGCCCGAGCAAGGCGGCTTGAGATAAAGGGCCGTGCAATTGGAATGCGATAAGGGGCACAAGGAAAGTGCTTACCATCACTTCTCTCGTGCCGGCGACGATTCACTCTCTGTCGGGCATTCAATCTGTAACGACGTATTAATCAGTAAAAGCATTTTGATCAACTTCTTTTAGTTTGATTATTTACTCACTTACCTGAACCAAATAAATCATTCGTTATTACTKACGTGTGTGAATTCATACCTCGTACACTGTAACATAACTGGCGCAGCCGGTAGGATACTGTGAGGCTGACAAATCCGGATTCTCCGCCAGACCTTTGACGGAAATCATCAAAGAGGAGGCAGCAGGTGTTTTAACCCCATTGTCACAGTCCACCACGTCGAGCTCTGAGGCCCACYTBCAAGCAGAGTGTCATCTGGAATCACCAAAGAGTAGTAAGTCTTCGGAATTCCTTTCACTCCATTTCATTATAACCCTACCTCAAATACGATTGTTACGTAAAAGCGATTACTATAAAAATGATACATACGTACATATAGAGAAAGCGAAAATCRAAAGAATCAAATAAGCATTACAACTATACAGCGTGTCTTTTATTATTTAATACTTACGTTATATAATTAAAATATAAAATGGCTCAAAATCAAAATGCACAAATTAGTTTAGAACAATTTAAACTAAGACTAGAAATATGGCGGRACGCGATTCCCATTTATRAGGGAGGAACAASGTTTTTATCGCACTTTTTACAAACATGTGATAAGTTTGTCGAGAATTTGATGACGAACGACGACGCWATAAATACATCATTATTTGCGCTTATCAAGTCAAAAATACGGGGGGAAGCATTGGATTTAATAGTCTCAAATAGCCCGGAAAATTGGGCCGCGTGTAAAACGCTTCTAATAAATAGATATAGCAACGCTAGTTCAGAGGAACTATTATTTAGCAAACTTAACACATGTTACCAATTACCGAATCAAAGCTACGAAAGTTATGCGGATGAGATCAAACAGCGATTGAACAAACTGAAGGAGCATGTTCAATTAAATATTCAAGACGCACAATTAATCATCATGAAATTTAAGTTTTATGAAAATGTTGCAAAAAATGTATTCATTAGTGGTATTAGAGAACCCTATCATACACATCTTACGCACTTCGAATTAGGAGATATCGAAGCCTATCTAGCGAAATGGAGGAGACTGGAAAGCTATGAGCAACAAGCGGCATTCCTCAATTTTACAARACAACGAGAGATCAAACCAAAACCTAACGTTTTCGGTACAGACAATCAATCAAGGAATTCTAATCTCTTCAACGTACCCRGAACATCGGGAAATGGAAATTTATTTCGACCATTTCAGCTACAGCCAGTAACTGCACGGGCACCACCCAGAGCCATAACAAATTTTGAAAATAATTTTGGAAAAGGTGCTAATAATCAACCTGGGCAACAGAACTATAGAYTTACACCCATGTCGRTRGGCGCTRGAAATACCAGTGGGCTAAAGGGGAATCTGGTTGGTAGATCGAATAATTTACCGACATCAAATAACAACGTAGCTAAACCAAATAACTTCGTACCAAGAGGAAGTGATTTCTTTAGGAACACGGGACCTTCTMATTTTATTTCGGAGGAGCTATATAATCAGGAACAACAGGAAGAAACACCAGAATGTCAGGAGGAACTGCCTTTTATTAATGATAATGTAGACGATCAGGGGAATGGGGAAATAACTGACGCTGAAAATTTTCAGGGGAACCCCAATTTCGCCGAAGGCACATAATCAATTTAGATAATATTGGAAATTCGCCTGAATTACCACACCTCGTAACCAGCAACCCATCATTAAAAATTCTCATAGACACGGGAGCATCGTCATCTGTCATAAACCCAAAAATAGCATACGAATTGTTTTCAGGGCGTATTTTCCCATATAGGTTTGARATAAAGTCTGTGCACAAGGTAACACAGGGTACGCATGCTCTCACGTTTCCAATTWTACAGGAATTTGGAGACGATACTCCTATTACATTTTTGATAGCACCTTGGCATTCGACATATGACTGTTTAACTGGAAATAAAGATTTACAGAATTTACAAGCAAGTATAAATTATAAAACCAAAACATTTAGCACAGGAAAATTTGAGATAGATTATTTGAATAATATACCGGAGCTATGCAA